TACAATCCTCCAGGGACCACAGATGAAAAAAAAAATGTTACGTTCAAATCAACAGATTTGCAAGGTCACGCGTTTGAGATCAGGACAGCAGGGAACCAAACAGCCTCACAAAACCAACAAAATAAGTACAAATCATGCAACTAGGGAATTCTCACAGGTACTCTCTTAACACCAACTTGATTTGCTAAGCTCAGTGGTCAGTAGTTCCATGGAACAGAGTGAGAAAAATCAGGCTGTGGGTTACAAGGGCGGATAATTTACACTGGGAGGCTGACAGTGGACCACATGGAAAATTAAGCCGCTTGGACTGCAGACAAGCTTAGAGAGAGGGTGAAGCAATGGCTATTTTGAGAATCCCTACTGGGCACAAACCAGCGTTCTGCTACGGAGTGCTAATAACATACATGAAACACACGAACGGGTGCAACACAGGCAGAAAAAGCCAAATAACCTTCCAATGTAAAAAAAACCAAAACAAAACAGTTTTAAAGCAGGCAGAAAAAGCCAAATAACCTTCCAATGTAAACAAAACAAAACAAAACAAAACAGTTTTAAAGTGATTCCATCCATTGCAAAAGACAAATTAAACTGGAAAATCTCCAGCATGTAGGCACACTGTAAATCTGAGAACAGAGCTTCCCAGCAATGGGGTCGGGGAGATCTGATCCTTGGCACTAATTCTGGAATGAGACATCTTTTAGACAGGTTACGTCCTCACCTGCCGATGTGCAGAGAAGTCACTGCTAGCTGAAAAACTCTTCAGCAATCTTCTGTGCTGCTTTTCTACGACAGTAATTACACATCGGCTGCTCAGGACTGAATGGCATCTGATACCAAACACATGAAACTATCCATCCAGACACATACACTGTGCCTCTCATAGAGGGGAGGGACTACAAGTATGAACACTCAGGGCAAACGACACCACCAGCGCTTCCCATTTTGGCTGGTAGCGCTGCCTCGGCGCAGTCCCCAGGCAGGTGCTGTCATTTCTGACAAGCCTGTTGGGTAACAGCAGCAG